TCGGCAAAATTGAAGATAACGCATATTCGTTTAAAGCGTTTGCTATTCAAGGTTATTATCTGCTATTGACATTGTTGATATTCCTGTCTGGAGAAATCCTCAAAATCCAGTGTGACGCCGTCTCAGACATCTGTCTTCACCACAGAATCCACCAGTCCCCAGCTAAGGAACTCTTGTTGTTGATAGCTGAGACTATGGGACCTGAGGTCCGGGCCAAGGCTGGATTCTACTTACATCTCAACTTGGGGACTTTCTTCTCTACACTTTGTTTTGTTATCTCTTTCTCTCTAATCTTTAAATAAACGTCTTATTTTATAAGATATTAAACAATGTATATATACGTATATCCCTGGCTCTCTCTTCGCCTCTTTGTCAATGTTTATTTAATGAAAATTGTATTTTTTTAAACAATGGTATGCTATCATTATCTTTATTATCCTATCACCACATTTATATATTTGTTTTCTATAACATCGAATAATTTGCATATTAAACTTGCATAACTACATCGAATAATTTGCATATCAAACTTGCATATCTACGTCGAATAATTTGCATATTAAACTCTATCCTCTCGCTCTCTTCTACCTGCTTATAAAATCTCTGTAAAATATAACTTGTTTCAACGAATTTATTTAACATTGTTACATAATACAATCTTCCTATGACATGAGGTGGAGTTTTTCTAAACTCTTTCCCCCCAGATATTTCTATTTACATACTGTTTTTGTTTGAAAGTGTATAACACATTAAAAACATATACTATATAATACTCTTCATCATTTAGACTTAACTTCTACTACTTAAAGTTTTTAATGTATTTATTGTATATTTCTTAGCTACATCTTGTGCCTACTTGCCATTACAGTAAGGACAGTAGAAAATTATTTTATTTTAAAAAGAAACATACGCGTCAAAAATAGTTTCAATTTCTTCTAACAGATGGCGCGCTGATGTATTATATTGCATCCTATCTGTGTTGATATAAATATATAGTTGATATTGATTTCGACGATTACAGCCCTGCCCCTACTTCCTGACTCCCTGCCGGCCTGGAACTACCAGGTTCACCGCAGCCCTCCCCATGACTAGACTTTTAGACAGTAGATGTACCGCCCGGATAGTTGGTGATTTATGCTCCAGGAGCCTGGATTACCTCTATTTTCTTTCTCTTCTCTCCTTTTTTAAAAACTGCCGGGAAGAGTCACAGACTGTGGATCACCTCCTCTTCTCCTGTCCAGCTTTTGTACTACACAGGCTACAGACACTGCTTGGAGTACAAGACTTCAGTCCTGTCCCTACTCCCTGCCGGCCTGGAACTACCTGGTTCACCTCAGCAATCAGCTCTCCCCATGACTAGACTTTTAGACAGTAGTTGTACAGCCCGGGTAGTTGATGATTTATGCTCCAGGAGTCCACCTCTATTTTCTTTCTCTTCGACAGATGTCGAAAGCTATCAGAAACTTTTAGTTGGACGATTAGGAGATGCCTTTTAAAAAATATATCCACCTGATCAAAACAGAGGAGAGGGCTACGTCGATTGTATATATCTCTCTTCATTACTACCATTATTATTACCTTATAACTCCCTTTGAGTGTAAAGATTGACGAGATGTCAATAAAGTTGTTTAATTGTCACAAGTTGTCACAACATAATTTAATTTTTGTACTATTATTTTTTCATCTATTATTCATCCTGAGTGTTGACAGTGTTATTTTACTAAATGACCAATGACTCTATTGCATATTTACTCCATACGTATTTATTATTATCCCATTTACTAATGTATCCTCTTTGTGTATATATTATTATATTTTATCATTCATTATCATAGAAAAACAAATTATTAAATTTAGATCTTTTGTTGCATAGCAAATTTATCTATGCCTCTCTTTTTTATGTAAATAAGGTTGTGAATTGTTTCGATCAAAATAAATTGATTTATCTCATCCTTATATTTGTTTGTATATATAGAGAAAATAGAGGTAACCCGGGATCCTGGAGCCTATATATATATACCTGAAAAAACAATTTAAAAAAATAAAAGATAAGTGGGTCAGGTGTTGATATTAAAAATAAAGAAGGCATCTCCTGACCACGAGCACATGTGCTTTTTAGATGGCAGAGCGCCATCTAGTGGAGCAAAAATAAACTAAACGTTTATTTAGCTTGCTCCGTGATATTTGGCCAACCCAATTTCTTGAGAAATGAAGAAATGGGTATTTAAGGCCAAACTTGCGTAAAGACGCTTAACACATGAAAGATGGCTAGATGGCGCTCTGCCATCTAAAAGCACATGTGCTTGTGGTCAGGAGATGCCTTCTTTATTTTTAATATATATATACCTGTCAAAAATTATGTAAATTAATACTTTATTACATATACAATCAACGCGTTGTTGAGGTAACATGTATTAATGTTAAGGTGTAAATATGTAAACTTGATGTTTTACTTTAATATAGGGAATTAATTTATTGAATTGTGTCAACTCAAGCTAAACGATGAACTTATCATTAAACGGAATTTTAGAAACCTGATGTTTTCACCTAAATAAATATATCCAGGAAAAATGGATTTAGATTCATATTAATGTCACTAATGACAGTGTGGTGTGTCGATTTATTAGTCCAGCGATGTCCCAGAAAGTAAGTTAGTGTTTTATTGGTATTACTTATTGGCTACATTTTTAAAGGAAGACAAAAGGACAACACCCTAGAATGTCTATTGGGTTCTCATTGACTTCCGCCGCGCCGCGCAGCGGTGGTCATCTCCTATTTCATGTCCCCTGCTTGTATGTTTGCTGACGGCGTGGTCCGTCATCCCAGCAGGCTGGAAGGAAGTCTCTTGGCCCCCACAACAGCAATAAGGAAGAGGGAGCAATCTCTCGAAATATTTTAAGAAAAAATTGTTTTTTTTCTTTACAGATCCAGGTACACCCTTTTATATAATAGTAATAAGGAAAAATAGTACAAATGTTATATTGTACTGGGATAAGGTGCATAAATTAAGAAAAAGGCATCTCCTTATCGTGCAACTGAAAGTTGCTGATAGCTTGCGCCATCTATCGGAATAAATATCAACTATTTAGTATTTGGCCAATACTGGAATAACTAAAAATCAACGAGAATAGCTGATATTTATTCCGATAGATGGCGCAAGCTATCAGCAACTTTCAGTTGCACGATAAGGAGATGCCTTTTTCTTAAGTAATAAGGAAGTTAAAAAAAAAATTGACGCATATGTTTATTTTTAGAAAAAAAAAAAATGCAACTACCCTTACTACAATGATAAAATAATGTGAGGGCAGTAGATTATTGTTTTATTTTAAAAAGAAACATACGCGCCAAAAATAGTTTCATTTTCTAATAACAGATGGCGTGCTAATGCATCATATTAATGACAATAATATAAACAACTGGAGAAATATGGAAATACGTCTTGTGATATTAATAATTTTATGCTTTTTTATGACTTTTCAACATTATTATGATTGTATTTGCTGGACAAGAACTCTGTGTAAAACGTCATAGAGATTAATTGAATCGCTGAATGCCGTGGTCCATTTGGATGAGGAAAGCGAAGACTAGAACGCGGCTGATTCCACACTTAGTCTGTTCAGTGATACGCTAACCTTGACGTATGCACGAAGGAACGTGTGGCCATTGGACATGTGTCGAACCTGGAGGCTGTTGTTGGGTGCTGTGCTGCCTGGAGTATAGGAGCTCTATCTATTATTTCTTCCTGTGGTGAATCTGTATAAGACCCTGGAGGCTGTTGTTGGGTTCTGTGCTGCCTGGAGTATAGGAGCTCCATCTATTATTTCTTCCTGTGGTGAATCTGTATAAGACCCAGGAGGCTGTTGTTGGGTTCTGTGCTGCCTGAAGTATAGGAGCTCCATCTATTATTTCTTCCTGTGGTGAATCTGTATAAGACCCTGGAGGCTGTTGTTGGGTTCTGTGCTGCCTGAAGTATAGGAGCTCCATCTATTATTTCTTCCTGTGGTGAATCTGTATAAGACCTTGGAGGCTGTTGTTGGGTTCTGTGCTGCCTGAAGTATAGGAGCTCCATCTATTATTTCTTCCTGTGGTGAATCTGTATAAGACCTTGGAGGCTGTTGTTGGGTTCTGTGCTGCCTGGAGTATAGGAGCTCTATCTATGCTTCCTTCCTGTGGTGAATCTGTATAAGACCCTGGAGGTTGTTGTTGGGTTCTGTGCTGCCTGGAGTATAGGAGCTCTATCTATGCTTCCTTCCTGTGGTGAATCTGTATAGGACCGCTGGTCTTAATAAAGCTTTGTGTGTATGTGTGTGTGTGTGTGTAAACCGTCATGTTTTTTGTCTATCTGTTTTTTTTTCTTTTGCATATACCCCTTACATTTGCATTAATTTTCCAGCCACGTTGCCTGAGAAAGTGAAAGCTAAGAACCTCCATGAGAGGACACTCGCGCTAGAAGACACCTTTCTACAAAGAACAGTCTTCATTTGCAAAATTACCATTATTTTTTTACTATTTTGCAACTCTCCGGTAAGAGGAGACGTCTCCCTAAAGGAAACATTGCTTTTGTAATCAGGTATCATTTACAGGGAGGTTCTACTGTAAAGAAAATTTGGCCTTAAATATCTATTTCTTGATTTCTCGGGAAACCTTTTGGATTGAATTTTTGGTCGTTGAGGTACAGCCTACACAACGTAGAAGTTCTGAATTTGCTAAAATCTGGTGTTGAGGCTTTGTCAACAAACGAATTCTGCTAGTTTGCAGAGATGGGCAATAGATGGCACATGCGGGGACCTTTATTATCTATACTATATTTATTTATTTTTTTATTTCAACACACAAAACGCGATATCCCGGCTAGGGATAATTGCGTTTATTTATTTTTTTTTAAACAGAAATAGTTATAAGCATTAAAATATACAAGTATCAGAGTCATCAACAATCAATTCTGTCATCGTTTGCTTTTGTGAATGGAATAAATACCCAAATATGGCCATTTCTTATAAGCATCGATGGTTCAGTGGTAAAATGCTTGTCTGCCACGCGGGCGCCCCGGGTTCGATTCCCGGCCGATGCATTTTTTTTTTTTTACAATTTTTAAAACTCATTTATATATTATACAAGAATGACATCCACGGCGCCAATTTATAATTGTAACGAATAGTATTTGAATAAAAGCATTTAATCGGGTAAAACCCGGGCGTTGCCCGGGTCATTCGGCTAGTATTATACAAGAAAAAGTAATAAAAAAAAAAAATAGAAACAATAATATATATTAGGAACCTGAACCTTTCAGGTACTATATTCTCCTACCACTTTGTTGTATTCTCGCCTGAAAATTGGCCTACCCTTCCATCAGTTTGAACACCTTTTCGGTAAATTTGACCGATCTCATTACCCCTCTCTTAGGATGTTATGAAATCGAAGTTGCCTCTGTACTGATGAAGGCCATAGCACGAAACAACGGTATACAAGTTGTTGACTTTTTTTTTGTCTGGATTTTCCAAAACTGGGGTTGTGGCTTATTCCTTATCACCACTATTGCGCTTTGTACCATGGGTAATAAACCAAAAATGAAGTGTTTTAATACATTTTAAAAGGTAGAGTAAAAAAGCGCCACTCTTATTACATTAATATCATCCTTCCGTAACTCTATGTTATACAGAGGGTGTTCACACTTATAGGGGAAACAAGCTTTATTATAAAATATTAAAAATTAACACCATATTTGAAAATTTTCAAATGTTCTATTTGAAAGCCTTTTTGTTTATTTACAGAACGGCACCTGATTTTCCACGATAGCAGACACTTTCTGATCATGGTCATACTCAAAAGATCCCATTCTTCCTTTACCACTTTCCAGAGCTAATCTTACCTATTTGGACATAATTAAATATGCAAACAAGATGATATCAACATTTCTGAAAAAGGTATTTGTAATATTATTCACGACAAAAATATCAAGTTTTTATTCAAAGCACCTACGGAGAAATGGACAAAAGATTATCACCCTATATCTGTGAGAACTCCTGCAACTGTCAAAAAAGTGAGAAAATATATTACAAAAGAAAATCCTATGACACAAAGAGATATAGCCAAATTAATAGGAACATCAGTGTCAACAATAAATAAAATAATAAATAAAGATTTAGGCCTAAAAGCTACAAAAAACACGCGGTTCACAAATTGTTTCAGAGCCATATTCGTCAGCGACACACTATCAGCAGATATTTTTACGAAAATTTCTTGGCTGCTGATAGATGGAAATTTATTGTTACATATGACGAAGCATGGGTATATTTAACCGATTGCGACAGAAAAAGAGCTATATACTATCAAAAAAGGGTGGAAAAATCTAGGCCAATTTGGTTGAAGGAATGTGCCGAAAGTTACCCCAAAGGATTTATGGTGGCATGCGGTATATCATATGAAGGAAAATTAAAAATAAAAAAAGTTGAAAGAAATGCCAAAATAAACTCGGAGTACTATCAAAACAACATTTTAGAACCCATATTTTTAAATGATATTCCCTCTATCTATGGAAAACAGAGCAACAAAGTCTGGTTTCACCATGATAACGCCACAAGTCATACCTCATCTTCAACCCAAGCTTATTTGGAAGATCTAAGGCAAAGAACAGGAATCAACACTATTCCAAAGAACAGAACCCCTGTAAAATCTCCTGATTTAGCCCCGATGGATTTTTGCATTTTTGGATGCCTTAAAAGAGCACTTGGAAAGAGACACCCTAGGACAATTGAAGGTCTCTGGAAAGTGGTAAAGGAAATAATGGGATCTTTTGAGTATGACCATGATCAGAAAATGTCTGCTATCGTGGAAAATCAGGTGCCGTTCTGTAAATAAACAAAAAGGCTTTCAAATAGAACATTTGAAAAATTTCAAATATGGTGTTAATTTTCAATATTTTATAATAAAACTTGTTTCCTATAAGTGTGAAAACCCTCTGTATATGCAAAGACAATTACAATATATACATATATAATATTTATAAAAATATATATTTAAATTGTACGCACAGATGTACACCATATTCAATCAGTACACTATGGAATGTGAGGAGGGAGTATAAATAAATGTTTATTATAAAGTTGGAGATAGAGAAGGCTTGGAGTTTTTACATTTGAAAAAGCTTGCTGTATATGTAATCAAACATTAAAGCAACTTAAAAAATGATAGGTACCACAGATGTAGAGCTTTAAAAAAAAAACATTATACACATTTTTGTAGAGAGAACTTTATGTAATCATTCCAAATTTTATTTTGTTAAGCTTAAAAAAAACAATTTATTTAAAAAAAGATTTCGATATTTTATAAATAATCAGAGAGGTAATGATTGATTTAACAAGGATTTTAATTTGAATAGAAAAAAAAAGAATAGAAAGGAAATCGTTTTGAAACTGTTGATTAATTAAAGAAAGGAAATGTGAATACCACAACCAAAATTATAGGTACAATGATACATGCAGATTGAATGGAACGTTATAGGCAGACAAGACTTCCCCCTCGTGGTGGATGAGAGAACTAATTGGCGCGAGCTATATTATCGTATTGTTCGCTTTTAACCATTACAACCCTGGCCTGGGGAATCTAACCTTTTTATGAACAATCTTGGTGGCGTGCAGCACCTTGGTACTTTGCTATAGTGTATTGTCTGCTTGCTACATTTCATTTTTGGGCTCGAAAATCATAGACTTTGATAAGTAACCCGTTAAACCATATTTTCTCTTTACCATTACAACAAAAGGTCACTTAAAAAATATGCCCCCAAAACCTGGTATAATCAAATACTGGGAAAAATAACTACGTAGGTTTATAAACGCAATAAAATAACTGCATTTTTAAAAAAAAATTATTGTAAAAAAGTCCAACACACGAAATATATTACAATAGGAGGAATAGCTTGAATTCATTGCTAAGAAGAGAGCAAAGGTAAAAAAGACGAGTTTTTTATTGAAAAGGTTTAAACTTGGCAAGCTTTCAGACAATAACCTCCTTCAACAGGGGCTGTAATACGAATACAAGAAACTTTCTCCATGTGTACTAGGGATAAGCAAAAAAATAAAATAAAAATAATAAATTTGTGTAAGAAGAGACAAAAGGTAAAAGAGACAAATTTTTCTTTATTGAAGAGGTTTAATCTTGGCAAGCTTTCGGACATAACCTCCTTCAACAGGGGCTGTAATACGAACACAAGAAATGTTCTTCTCTAGTTTCTTGTATTCGTATTACAGCCTGTTGAAGAATGTCATTGTCTGAAAGCTCGCTAAGATTAAACCTCTTCAATAAAGAAATTTGTCTCTTTTACCTTTTGTATCTTCTTACACACATTTATTTATTATTTTTTTTTTGCTTATTCCTAGTACACGTGGTACAAGTAGGCGACTGCTTTTACTGTAAGTGCACCACATGTCTACACATGTGAAAAGCAGTTCGACTTTGCACTTACAAATGTGCCAGAGACCCGTTTGGTTACTTGCACTCGCTGGTGGGGTTGAATTTTTGAAAGAATCGGGGGCCATTGGAACATTTTTTAAATCATAAAAAAGTGTCCAATGCGAGAATCGAACCCGCGTCGTAGCGGTCGAAAACCAACGGTTTAGACCATCCTTCCATCGACCCCCAGTTTTTATTATTAATATTATTTTTTGCTTATTCCTAGTACACGTGGTACAAGCCATGATAATTATGGTGGGTAGAAGTAGGCGACTGATTTATACTGTAAGTGCACCACATGTCTACACATGTGAAAAGCAGGAAAAAAAGTGTCAGAAGTGGGATTCGAACCTACGCCCATATCAGTGGACCAGAATATCCAACTCCCGCTACGGGATAAGAACACAAATTTATGGAAGTTGGGAATTCATAAAATATATATATGTTATAATATTAGGAAAAATCTCTCTACGATATTAAAGATAAAGATGAACTACTGATGAGCCAAACACTCCCAATATATATATAAAAATAAATAGTTGTATAGTTTTATAGTTAAGTATTCTATTAAAATTATCTTAATTATTTTGATTATTTAAATTCAAATTATAAAATTAGTAAATTGTTATTATTTAGTATAAATAGAGAGAAAAAAAAAATCCCTTACTTCTAAAACATCCTCTAGTTAATTATATATTTATAATTAATAACAATAAAATTTAACAAAGTAACGTCTTTTGCATCGGCTTTTACACGTCATTTAGACATACTCTAATCCTATATATAGAATAATCGAAGTGAGAATATATATAATAGTTAGAAAAAAGAGAGAAAGACAGAACCATGTACTTTTGATCAAACTAATAATAAGAAGACAAAAAGTTTTGTAAAGAAGGTAGTTAAGATTGTTAGTATATATATATATATTTTTATAATTTTATATTTTATCGTTTTTTTTTTAAATGATTTTTTAAATTTTTTTATTTTAAAATATGAATATAAATAGTTGTATTTAGTAATATATCTATACTATGAATTAACTTTTGTTATAAGTTTGGTTATTATGTTTTGAAACCCTAATGGTAGACCAGACATATACAAAAAAAATTAAATTGGAGTAATTATTGAAAAAAGAGGTCTGCTGAACCGGGAATTCTCAAATAGAAGTCCAGCGGCGTTTCATCCCTTCTCTATTACGTCATAGACCTCTTTTCAACCGGATTTTATGTGTTAATATAAAGTTACTTCAGTGAAACATTTATATGAACAGATATAACAGATATAAGTGTTACCAAATTCTTATTGTGAACCTACCTTGACCGCGCCGCCTTCAACTGTAAACATCTATTTCTGGATGACACATGTTGTGGGGGGTGGGGGACAAAATTAGACCGTCCATTTTGAAGTTTTAGAACAACAAGATATTCAAAGAAGAAAGAGAAGTTAGTTAAGGGAAGAAATCCAAACTTTATAATCTTTACATCCAGTTATATTAAAATAAATGATTCAATACTTAATCATCTTTCAATATTCCTTTAAAAAGGCAAACTATTAGAGTTTAATAAAGCTATTAATTGTGAAAATTCACTTTTATTTAATTTCCATTTTCCTCCCCAGAAATTG